GCCGGCCGGAACCGCTCCCGGGAGCACAGAGGCGCTTCCTCCCGCCCCGGAGGGACCCTCCCCGCTGCCACCCGTTCCCCCTCTCCCTCCCTCAGTCAGGGGTCCGGACAGCCAACGCCGCGCTCACCTCCCGGCCCGCCGCCGACCCGCCGCATAGCAACCGGCCACCTCGCCACTTCCGGGTCCCGCCGCCGGACGTGACGCACACACGTGGCGCCGGGGCTGGGAAGGGATTCCCCCGGGGGGGCGTGACCAATGCGAGGGAGGCGTGACCACGGGACGAGAGGAGGCGTGGTTGCGAGTGAGGGGCGTGGCGAAGCGGGAAGGGGGCGTGGTCAAGCTGGATGGGGGCGTGGCCACGCGGGGGGGGCGTGACCAAGGGGTGGAGATGGGTTAATATTAATTAATGCGCCACGGGCCAAGCACTGCAGGGCTGTGCGAGCTGTACATGGCTGGTATGGACAGGCAAACCTAAATGTACACACAATATAAACCTATAAATAGAGATTTATAAATATAAATATAAATATTTGTTTAGCTATTACAGCTACACAATGGCACTGTGGCACCCGCAGGGCTGTGCGAGCTATTAATTATATTGCTGATGCAAACTATCAACATACAAACAGTATATAAACCTCTAAATAAAACTTTGTGAATATAAATATAAAAGTATAAATACTTGCTTGTATGTTATAGATACGCAATGGTACTGTAGCACCTGTAATAAACATATAAATAGTTATAAGTCATAAATAAATGAATCTGGTTAAAAAACCCAAAGCAAAACGCCTCTTTGTGCCTCGAAGGGGCTGAAAACCCTCCGGCGAAGCTCGGAACCCTCCTGCGCGTTGCCACTGAGCGGCAGCACAGCTTGTGCCCGCGCAGCTCGCAGAACCGGGAGGAAAAAAAGTTTATCCTGCCAACTGGAACGTGTTAATAAGAGGAATAACGTCACGGAGAGGCTGCGGAGCTCCACGGGGGCCTCGCTTCTCGCCGTGCGGAGCGATGCCCGGGGTCTCGAGGGACCTTCAGCCTCATCCCGCTGGCCGCAGTGACATCGAGCGCGGCCGTGTGGGCAAACGCTCGGCGACGGTCCTGGCACGGGTTTGGCGGGCGGTTGCATCAAGGTCTCGAGGGTTCAGCGCTGCTTTTCCAGGGGTAACCGATACGCTGGGTGATTCCGTAAGGTCACAAATCGGTCCCCTGCGGTCCCTATTCACGTGCACAGAGAAGGAGCGGGACCTGCCGGACTGCTCCGGCTTCTCTGCTTCTTCTCGTTCCTTCTGTCATCGCAAATCATTGTGTTACAGCCTTCAACCCTGGGAGCCCAGCAGGAGGGAACTGGGACAAAGCTGGGACAAAAGAGGGGAGATTTAGGTGAGATATCAGAAAGAAATTCTTTGCTGTGCGGGTGGTGATCCCCTGGGGCAGGTTGCCCCGAGAAGCTGTGGCTGCCCCATCCCTGGAGGTGTTCAAGGCCAGGTTGGACGGGGCTTGGAGCAACCTGGGCTGGGGGGAGGTGGCCCTGCCCAGGGCAGGGGGGTGGAACAAGATGATCTCTAAGGTCCCTTCCAACCCAAACCATTCTATGAAAACCGAACACTCAGCCTGATGGCTGCTGTCATTCCCTTAACACACGTGGGGTCCCTGCTGTCTGTGGGATAGATGGTGGCACAGCGATGCTGTGTTTTGGATGTCCCCTCCTGAAACGCCCAAGCAGGGCTTTGCCTTCAGCCAGCGCGAAGCCCTGAAGCAGAGGAGCACCGAGCCTCTGCCACGCACGGCACGGCAGCAGCCGGAGCTACTCCCGGCTTTCGAAAGCCACCGTCACATCGGGAACGGAGAAACCAAACTCATCCCGGGGTGCAGCAGCAGAGCCACGATGGTCTGTCTGGTCCCCTTATGAAAAGCAGATGTGGCCGAGGAGCTGCATCGCTCCGAGCAGGATCATCTGCAGGACTCCTCCAGCCATAGGAGAACACGGAAGGTTTTCACACAAGTTCATTTTCTGCCGCGTTTCCTCTTCCTCTTTCTCTTCTCACACAAGAAACTTTAATTTCTGCCTCTAGAGCCGCTGTCAGCGCTTCTCAAAAAGCCTTTGGCTTTTGCTTCCCCGCTCGGCGCGGAGCCACCGGCGCACCCGGCTGTCCCCGGGAGACCCACCAAGCCCCCGCACGGGGTATCGCATCTGGGTTTTTTGGGGGGGCTGGATTTTGCGTGACGGCTTTTGCACCCCAGGTTTTACACACCAGGGTCTTCTCAAAAAGCCTTTGGCTTTTGCTTCCCCACTCGGCGCGGAGCCACCGGCGCACCCGGCTGTCCCCGGGAGACCCGCCGAGCCCCCGCACGGGGTATCGCATCTGGGTTTTTTGGGGGGGCTGGATTTTGCGTGACGGCTTTTGCACCCCAGGTTTTACACACCAGGGTATTGCACGCTGGGTTTTCCGCACTGGATTTTACAGTCTGGGTTTTACACGCCGAGTCCTGCACGCCAGGTTTTGCACGCCGGGTTTTGCAACGCTGAGTTTTGCACGCCGGGTTTTGCACGCTGAGTTTCGCACGCTGAGTTTTGCACCCCAGGTTTTGCGCGCTGAATCGTGCATCCCGGGTTCGGCTTCCCCATCCTCGCTCAGCACAGTGGACATCCCGCCCCCGAGTTGGTGGGACCCATCCTGGCATTGCACGGGCTCCCGCTGGCCACGCCGCTGGCAGCTGAAAACCCAGCAGCTCTGGGCAGCCCCTCGGTCCCTTTCCAAGCTTAATTCCACCCAAAAGCAGTTTGCTGCCACTTAGGACTCGTGGGGGGAACGGCTGCGGGGCGGCCGCT